CAGGACGAGCTCGAGGACGACGCAGACGCCACACGCGAGGAGCACGACTATGTCTTGTCCAACCCGCTCAAGCTCCTCGCTCAGGCTTCCGACGCAGCAGCTGCCAGGATTGAGGGCGGCAGGGTCGAGCCGGGAAGTCGAAGCTCGCTCGCAGCCGTCGAGACCATGGGTCTGCTCCATCCCACACTGCCCTCCAACCGCATGGCTGTCAGCGCCGCCGTCAATCTCACGGGACTCGGCCGCCCGCTATACGGGCGCAAGGACGACGACCCTTCGCGCAACAGGTGGCCTGCCAACCGCGTTCTGCCGCCGCTGCTTCACGCGAATCGAGCGGGGCTGTCGACGGAAGAGGCTGCCAACGACGCGAGTCACCGCAGCCAGCCGCCGTTCCTCAAGGACAGCATGCGTTCCAAATCCTTCCCCGAGGGCGAGCTGCCCAGGATCGACGGACCTGTTGCCATGGACGAATCCGACCCCGGCGTCCCAGCTGCAGGACCGTCGACAACCAGCCAGCTTTCGGCGTCAAAGACCGTCTCGGCCGCTTCCTTGGGGCGCTCCAACGTGCTCACGCCGTCCACTCTCGACCACGACGCATGGGAGTACCGCGAGGGCAAGGCGCAGGCCCGTCGAGGCTATGGATCCGGCGCAAGCCCCGGCGGCGTCAGTGGTGATGCCGGCACAACTTCCAGCAGTGTATCTGGCGCCGCGGCGAACGGCCAAAAACCGGGCGGTGTTTCGGCGATCAACGGCGCATCACCCGGCGAGATCATCGAATCGCCTGCAGATGAGGTGACCACTGCCATGCTTGGCAAGCGAAAGCGCGGTCGATCGCGTGCCGCGCGCGGAGGCGGCTTGCCTAGCCGGAGACGCAGGCTCGCAGAGTGGGACACGGATGCCGAGAATGGCGACGGCCTCGACGACGAGACTGCCCCAGAGTCCGTCAAGGCCAAGCAGGTGACCATCTCGACCGTCTCCAAGCCAAAGGAGGCCAGCGGCGTCACCTCGGGCGGCGAGGGCGAGGCGGGCGCATCGCGCAAGGGCTACTTTAACCTCAGTCTCTTCCACAGCAAGAACGACGACACCGAGGGCTTGGACCCCGTCGAGCTCGGCCTCGTCGAGCTGCGCGAGCTCGAGCGGCTTTTCGACATCTTCTTTGCGCGTATCAACCCGGTGCTCGATCTGTTTGATCCATTCCTGCACAGCGTCGCCTTTGTGCGCATGCGATCGGCCTTCCTCACCACCGTCATCTCGAGCATGGCTGCGCGCTTCTCGGATACGCCGCAGGACGCCCGTCTCGCCGCGGTGCTCGACAAGCACTGGCAGGAGAAGCTGCTGCCCATGATCCTGCTCGGCGGATACAAGAGTGTCGAGATCAGCCAGGCTTTCCTCATCCTCACCACGTACAGCCGACCGACGAATCGGTTGGTGGACGACCGCTCCTGGCAGTACCTCGGCTTCGCCATCCGTACCGCCACCGAGGTCGGCGTCAATCGCAAGGTCACGCCGAGCGAGAATCTGCTTGGCAACGAACAGGTGGCGCGGCGCGTGCGCAACCGCGAGCGGCTGTGGTACAACCTCTTCCTCTACGACCGCACGCTCAGCGCACAGACTGGCCGACCGTGGACCATCTCGGAGGACCGCATGATCGTCCAGAGCTCCATGTGGCATCGCCAGGACTTTGCGCTTCCCGAAGACGTGTCGCTCGTCAGCCTCATCAAGCTGCGCCGCATCACCGCACAGCATACCGAGGCCTTTGACGCATACCTGACCAGTCCCGACCGTTTCGACGAGACACAGACCGCCACCGCGCTTGGCGTCGGCGGCCAGAGCATGTTCGAACGCCGACTTTCCGGACTCGAGTTCTTCCGCAAGAACGCCAATGCCGATTTGGAAAAGTGGAAGGAGACGTGGTGCATCAACACCGACGACAAGATCAAGGAGGTCGACACGAGCACGGCGGCAGGCAAATATCTGATCCGCTGGGCGCCGACCGCCAAGCTGTTCTACTACCACTCGCGCCTGCTCATCAACTCGCTCGTGCTCGGCGCGACCGAGCAGTACGAGGGCTTCCTTTCGGGCTCGGCCGTGTCGGTGGACTGCTGGACCTCGGCCATCTCGCTGATCGATACGGTGCTGAACGATTTCACCGAGGAAGCGCTCGTGACCTGGTCCAACGATCGCGTGGTCATGGCCGTGTATGCTGCCGTATCGGCGGTGCGCATGACCAACCTGCAGCACAAGTACGCCTTTGCGGACAAGGAAACGCTGCTGGCGCTCGTACGTCGCCTGGCTACCAGCATGACCAACGCGGGCAAGACGCCGCGCCACCGCAATGGTTCGGCGACGCCGTATGGAAGGTACCTCAGGTCGGTGCTGGCGGCGTTCGAGCCCGAGACTGCGGCGGTGGCAGCTGCGGGGGCCCCTGGATCTGTAGCTGCCGCAGCGGCGCAGACGCCGGGTAAGGACAGCGAGCAGGCCACGTCGATCACCACCAGCAGCCTTGCACCCGGCGACAGCCGCTCGGCCGGCGCAAGCCCGCCGGCGTCTGCTGCTCATGCGGCGTCGCGGGCAGCCGAAACGGGCGAGGCGAAGCCTTCCGCGGCAGTCGGTGCGCTGGGCGGTGAGAATGCGGGTTCCAAGGTTGCGTCCGACAGCGGCCAAGTTGCCGACTCGAAACGCGAAGATGCAGTTGGTGCGGACGAGGTGGTGCCGAGCCAAGGTGTGCTTGGCAGCAACGAGGCTCTGCGTGGAGATGTTGGTGCAGCTCCGGCCGTGACTGCGGGTGTCAGCGAGGGAACAACGGGCAAGGCAGTTGCAGCGGTGCCGCTGATTGTGACTGGCGATGCTGGGGTGAATGGCGAGCTCGATATGGCTGAGCCACTCGCCAACGCAGCAGTGGATGCACAGAGCATGGAAAAGCTGCTCGGAGGCCTGCCTATCGATGCCTCGACGACTGCGACGCCGCTTCTGGCCGAACCGATGGCGTCGGTGGCGTGGCCGACGACGAGCAATGCGGCGGCGACATCGGGCGGCGCTGGGCCGGAACTGCTCACGGGTGCGGGCATGCTGCTCTCGACGCCGATCCCCGCCGGCGCCGTGTCGGATGCGGGCGTGCCGCCCGACGCGATGGCCGCGGCAGCCGCCGCCGCGGCGTCCATCCCGAACGTGGTGGACGATCCGGAATCGCTCGAGCGCATGTGGAACTACATGACTGCGTTTGACAACTCGTCGTTCTGGCAGCCGCAGTCGTCGTGGAACCTCAGCGGCGCTGCGGGCAATACGGGTCAACACCACAATCACTGATCAGCCACGCTTTCCGACGCGGCGAGAGGCGATGTTGGGGCGCCGATTTGATGCAATGCGAATGTAATGGGCACACGACTTGCATACATTGCGCGCGAGAATGTGAGCCAAGAAGGATGGGATTCCTAAGAGGAAGAGCTAGTGCGTTTGGTGGTTGGCAAGGGGGCATTGGAGGGTGCAAAGCGGAAAGATTGAGGGTACGGGAGTTGAAGGATCAGGTGGAGAGGATGGCGGGGATTTCGGGTTCTGGGGAGGCGGGGGTGGGCGCCTGGACGAGGAGGTCGTAGTGGCCTGGTCTGAGGAGCATGGTTCCGATTTCGGTGATCTGGCCGCCCTCGACTTCGAAGCGGACCACGTCGCAGCGGTTGGGGTTGTCGGCGGCGTGTCTGCGCGAGGCGGCCTCGTTGCCGGGGACGGGTATTGAGTTTGAGGACTGGGCGTTGTGCTCGGACGACTGGATCTGTTCGGCGGGGAAGTCTTCGTCGAGCGGTGTGGCGGGNGTTGCCGGGGACGGGTATTGAGTTTGAGGACTGGGCGTTGTGCTCGGACGACTGGATCTGTTCGGCGGGGAAGTCTTCGTCGAGCGGTGTGGCGGGCGGAGCTTGTGCGGGCGAGAGGTATGCGACGTCGAGCGAGACCTTGAGTGCGCGGGAGAGCGCGGTGATCTGTACATGGTCCGCCTCCTTACCGATGGCCTCGACGTGGTTTGCGCAGAAGGACTGCATGTCGGGCGCAGCGGCCTCCGTGTGCGTGTCGAGCGAAAACAGGAAGGGCGTATACTCGTCGGCATTGAGCTTGAGGAACGCCGAGGTGAGCAGACGCAGGTAGACGACGATCGAGTTGGACTGTTCGGCGTCGTTCATGGCTTCGACGAGGGCGTGTTCGTTGAGCTCCTTGGTTTCTGGATCCGTCGAGTACATGCGGTTGAGCAGATTGCGCAGCGGCTCGTAAAAGTCGGTATACACGCTCTCGTCGTATCCGGCGTCCTTGAGCAGCTGCAGCGTCGAATCGACGTGCTTGACGGTGAAATGGTGCATGGGTCGATCGTTCATCGTCATGAGCTTGTAGATGAAGGCAAAGGCAAACGCGCGGTAGAAGCAGTCGCCATCACCCTTGGCGCGTCGGATACCAATGAAGCCCGCCTCCTTGAGCCACTGGATCTTGCCGAGGAAGGCGTCGTTGTTGGCGTACTCGTGCTCGAGCACCTCGATGGGCTCTACGGACGAGATGAGCGGCTGGCCCGCCGTGGACTCGGCGCGCACCTTTTCGGCGAGCTCGAGACGCTGCGCATCGGTGAGCGACTCGAGCTTGGTGTCTGCGTTGATTCCCTCCATTGCCGGCGGAGTGATGCGCAGTGCGGTGTCGATGCAGTGATTGAAAGAAAAGGTCGATGGATGGGATGTCGCGAGGCTGGGAATTGTGATTGGGATTGGGATTGGGATTGTGATTGTGAGTGTGAGAAGACGGAAGTTGGAAGGCGTGTGGAGTTGGCAAATCTCAGGGCCAGCTGACTTGACTAGTACTGACCAACGAGTGCGGCGAGCTGCAACTTGGGTGTGGAGCAGCCGATTCGAGATCGCAAGGCGCGCTCTCCTGCTGCAGTTGCTGCTGACGCTTTCTGCCACTTTGCGGACAAATCGATTTGGGCCGCTCGTCGAAAGTGAGCGAAGAGGCTCCACGCACGGTGCGCTCATCCCATGCACGGACAGGCACCCAGCGTGTCCATTAGCCAGTTCGTGCGAGAGAGCCTGGAGAACAGGAATTTCAGGATTCAAGTTTGTGTGCTCGATCAGGTCTGACACCTTGGCTGCTTTTTTGAAACTTCTGCGCGACGGATTTTTTTTCGGTTCGGCGGCGCATCTTCGCACTCCACTTCCGAAAGTCGCACAGGAAGCCTCTGCGGCTGCTGCAAGAAGAAAAAAAGGGTTTCGAACGACCTTCTCCCCCTCACCATCAGGACCCAACGATACCCGCACCACTCGCCTTTGGCTCCCGATCTCTCTTGCTGCCCCGCCCGCTCGAAACGACACAGGAAGCAGCTACCGGAGCACCAACCCTACTCTCGCCCGCGCTTGCGCACACCTGGGCACCGCCGCCAACCCTCTTCACAATGCCGCCCAAGGGCTCCAAGCGCTCGTCCAAGGCGGACGCAGCAGCGGCAGCATCAGCACCAGAAAACGCCATGGAAATTGACGAGCCGTCATCTTCGCAGCCGAGCGGCAGCATCGCCAACGACCCTGCGGCTGCCAGCATCATTGACCAGTCCAAGTCGTCGGCAGCGGTGGATGCGCGCCGCCTCGTCGAGATCCTGCCAGAACGCATGGGTTCGGTGGCAGAGACCGACTTCCCCCTGCATCACCCGGGCGAGGCGCACACCTTCTCGCTCGCCACGCTCGGCGAGAGGCTCAAGCTCATCATCACACGCCTGTCGGACGCCTCGTGCGAGTTCGACCTGATCGGGGTGGACGCGTCGATCGCCAACGCCATCCGGCGCGTGCTGATGGCCGAGGTGCCCACGGTGGCGATCGAGCACGTCTACATCTGGAACAACACAAGTATCATCCAGGACGAGGTGCTGTCGCACCGATTGGGGCTCGTGCCGCTGGCGATTCATCCGGACAAGGTGCTCATGCGCCAGCCGGGCGACGACGCCGACGACAGCAACACGGTGGTCTTCCACCTCAAGGCCAAGTGCGAGCGCAACCGCAACGCGGCACGCGGCGAGACGGATCCGGACAAGCTGTACATCGGCCACAACGTCTACTCGGGCGCGCTCGAGTGGGATCCCAAGGGTGGGCAGGAGGACGACTTTGCCGACGCGCCCCCACGTCCCGTGCACGACCGCATCCTGATCGCCAAGCTGCGCCCGGGGCAGGAGCTGGATCTGGAGCTGCACTGCGAAAAGGGTATCGGCAAGGACCATGCCAAGTTTTCGCCGGTGGCTACCGCCACGTACCGCCTGCTGCCGCACATCCAGCTGCTGCAACCGGTGCCCGCGGCGTTGGTGGACAAGTTCGTCGCATGCTTCCCGCCCGGCGTCATCGGCGTGAGCGGCGAGGGCGACGAGCGCAAGGTGTTTGTGCAGGATGCCAGGAAGGACACCATCAGCAGAGAGGTTTTCAGGCACGACGAGTTCGAGAACACTGTCAAGCTCGGTCGCGTCCGAGACCATTTCCTGTTTGATCTGGAGAGCACAGGTGTGATCCCGCCCGAGCGTCTGCTGCCGGAAGCCATCCGTACGCTGCGCGCCAAAATCGCCACGCTCCGCAAGGGGCTCGACCATCTAGAAACCCAGGGGCTGGACACGGCCATTGTCGATGCCTAATGCCCTCCCCACTCCTCGCGCATGTTGCAATCTATACTCATAACCACGACTGTCGAGGCAAAGAACGCAGGTTGTGATTTCAAAAGCCAGCTTAAAAGGCACGACCCTCTTCGGAGAGGATGCGTTGTTGGACGCTATCCACTTTGCGGTGGCCGGGGGTTCGGCCCAAGTCGGCGCCGAAATTCGCCCATTTGTCCTTGAGCTTGCCCACTGCGTCGTTGGCGGCTATCCAGCTGGGGGACTTGTGCATGCCGGGGCGGGTGTAGCCGTAGCTGGCCGCGTATGCCTCGGGCGAGTCTCGATCGCTTGTCGACGTGGCGAGGGTTGAGATGCGCGTGGTCACGCGGAATGCGTAGCCGACACAAACCCATACGCCGCCCACGACGCCTGCGAGACGCACGAGGAACTGGACGAGCGAGACCGAGCGCTCGCGAATCGTCATCTGCAACGGCTCAATGTCGTACTTGATAAAGATGCCCGGTACGCCTTTGCCGTGCTCGATGGGGCGCGCATAGTCGGTCACCGAGTACTGGTGTGTGTGCAACCGCCGCCCGCGCGCGTCGATGAACAGCGTCGGTATGGCCGACACAAAGTACTGGAACACTGTAAAGTCTGTGGGCCCCACAGCATAGCCAAGAAAGAAAGAAAGAAATGTCAGCCCTGCAATCGCTTCCCATCCAGGCGCAGGCACAAAGCGGGAACGTACGCTTGTCCGTCGTCTCTACCGACGAGTCGAGCGGTTGCGAGATTTCGGGAAAGTAGGGTCCGAAGCTGAACTCGTGAATGACGTGACTGAGGTTCATGAGTTTGTGGTCGGTACGTTCCATGCTGAGGTATCCATGTCCAAGCGTGGTGATGTGCAGATTGCCCGTGACCCTCTTGACCTCCATGCTGCCGTAGATCCTGCACGCCGGACCGTCCGGTACGAGATGAGCGGTTTTGTGAAACGCCACCTGGCGCGAGAACTTTTTGTTGCGCGGTTTCCTGCGGTACAGCGGCTTCTTCCTCGCCTTGCTGATGGTCTTGCCCACATCGAGCGCCTCCTGCGGCAGCGCATCGAGGCGATCGGCATGGCCAATGTCAAACGTGGTTCCGTCCTTCTTGAACTCGGTGTCGGACACGTGCAGACGGTCGCCCACCGCATCGCGCACGTCGATGGTGAGGTAGTGACACTTCATCGCCACCGTCATGTCCATGTTGATCTGCATCGTCGACTGCAGCTGGCTATCCACGGCGAACGAATACCCGCGTTCGCCGTACAGATACGTCGAAAGCTCCGTCCATAGCAGAAATACGAGTGCGAGAGCCGAGATGATCGTCAGCACTCCGCCCTTGGACGACCTCTGCGTGTAGATCGACTGCGTCTTGGGAAACGCGTCGAACTGGCGGATCTTGGGCAGCCTGTCCAGCGAGTCGAGAAGCTCGGCCATGGCGGGCGTGCTTGGCAGTCCGTTGCTGGCGGTGTAGAGATGCAGACGGAGTGGGCACCAGGATGGTGGTGGATGCCGACAAGCCGGCCTCGTCGAGCTGCCTTTGGGCTGCACGGACTTTGGGTCAACTTGACGCGGGCCAGCAGCTCGGATCTTCTCAATTTCCGCCCATTTGAGGCGCGTGTGTGCGCTCTATTTCCTTGCCAGCTGTCTCTCTCAGGCGCTGCACCGGCGAATGCACCTGTGCCCCACTTCCACGCGTCTCGCCATCGGGGGCCGCTCGCGATCCACATCGGGCGCCAACCTCGGTGTTCATGCTTCGGCCGCCGTGTACCTGCGTTTGGCCCCAGCTTTGACGACCTCTAGAATACACTCAGCGGATCGGCGTCGGCCTTGGAGACCGACACCGAGTATTGCGCCGGAAGCTCGCGCCTGAGCCAGTGCTGCAGCACGTCTCGCAGGTATTTGCTGTGTCCAAGTCGAGCCTGATGTCAGTGCCCGGCCCATAACGGCACGCCACTTGAGAGAGCCGGATACTCACCGTTCGGTGTTGGTGTGGTTGGTGACGATCACCGAGGCTCCTGCGGCCTTGTACGCCAGAACCTCGTGCTGCAGACAAACACCAAGATGGCGCAAAAACAAAATGCAGCAAGGTCAGCCGACTGTCGTGCGACACCTTCTTCACGGGCTAGCGCAGTGGCAACTTACGTGGGAGAGCTCTCCAGTGAGGTCTGTTGACGGATCAAAGAATACGAGTGGTGGGTCAGTCAATAAGATGCGCCCGCCATAGCGTCTGCCAACGCAGCCAACTTACAAAGATCCGCCTTGACGCCGGCAAAGACGCTGGAGCCCGAGCCTGCACACACGGCCACGGTGGAGATGGGCGTGTCGGAAGCCTTGCATCCCTGCACATGGTCGAGCTCGAGGTTCTGCTTGATGCGTCGGACCATCTCCTCAAACGTCTGCGGCTGGTCGAGCGTGATGAGCCTGCCCATGCCTGCAGCCTCGTATCCGCTCGGCGTGTTCTTTGACGCACTGAGCACCGGCCACGGCTTTTGTCGGAGCTCGTCCAGCGCCTTGTCCGTGCTGAGCTGCTCAAACGGCTTCTCGGACGACACGACTTTGCCGAGCCAGTCGTTGATCCCGCCCGGAGTGGCGTCGAGGCTGGTATGCGGGCAGTACACGCTGACGCCGGCGGCAGCCAAGCGCAACAGGCTCGTCTGCTGCGGATCCGCAAACGTGATCGACTTGAGCCCACGGAAGATGATCGGATGATACACCAGAGCCACCTTGACGTTGTCGGGCGACGCTAGCAGTTCGTCGCACACGGCAGTCGTCAGGTCGATCGCCAGCATGATCCCCTGCTTCTCCTCGCGTGGTTCGGAGGGCGGCGCCTGCAGCAAGATGCCGACGTTGTCGAACGAGGTGTCGGCGAGCTGGAGCGGCGCGATCCGGTGCATGGCCTGCATCGTGTCTGCCAGGACGGCATTCTGCTTGACCGTCTCGGTGATCTGCCAGTTGGGCTGCGACATGATCGATCGAGCCGGAACAGCAACGGCGCTGCGAGGTTGAACGATGCGGGATGTGGCGAGGCGCGGAGAGGAAGTGCAGGTCGCCAGTCTGATAGTGCGAGGCGAGCAGAGCGGGCGCATCAAGAGCAGTGCCGATGAGAATGGGGATGATCCCTTGACTTTTTTCTTCCGGCCCCCATCAAAAAGGCACGGTCAGTGCGGCCAGCCCACCGAAAAAGTGGAGGTTTGTCGCCGCCGAGCTGGCGTTCTGGCGACTTTGAACGCGCTTGGCCTCTGCGGGCGGCGTGTAGGGTTTACGAGGGGCAGCAACTCTCAAAGCTGTGTTGCGGAGCGCCAAAAAAACAGGCCGCTTGAAATCGCGACCTAAAATCGGGAGGGTTTCTTTACTGCCAAAACTCAGCTTGAGCTCAGTAGCTGCTGGACGGGAGGGAGCGCGCACAACACGCGCATCGGCGAGTGGGCCAGCTGCGCCTCTGCGAGAGAGCATCACACGGTAGGGCGGGCGTCAAATTCACACACTCGGCTCTGGCTGCCGTGAAGCCGATAACCACACGCGCAACTCTCACACACAACTGCCACTCACATTTGACGCAGCAGTGCACGCCCCCCTATACGCCGACGAGCCTCCACCATCATCGCCACCACCAACACCACCACCATCACGCACATCACCTCCATCTTCCATCAGCGCTTGCCACACCAGCACGCCACGCACAGCTTCGCTCGCGCATACATCACCGCCTGCGCCATCGGTTGCAATCCGCCTCGTTAGTTTTGCGCCCCTCGGAACGAGCTCCTTTCCTCCTGCATCCGCATCTCGACCCCATTGCAGGCTCGGCTCTTTGGCTTTTCGGCATCAGTGCACCTCTCTAGTACTGAACCGCAACCATGGCAGCTCCAAGGAATCCACGCATGCTCCAGTTCAAGCTCGTGCTGCTCGGCGAGTCGGCGGTGGGCAAGTCGAGTCTGGTGCTCCGTTTCGTCAAGGACCAGTTTGACGACTACCGCGAGAGCACCATCGGCGCCGCCTTCCTCACGCAGACCGTCAGCCTGGATGCGCAGACCACCGTCAAGTTCGAGATCTGGGACACCGCCGGTCAGGAGCGATACAAGTCGCTTGCACCCATGTACTACCGCAACGCCAACTGTGCGGTGGTGGTGTACGACATTACGCAGCCGTCGTCGCTCGACAAGGCCAAGGCGTGGATCCGCGAACTGCAGCGTCAGGCAGACCCCAACATCATCATCGCGCTCGCGGGCAACAAGGCGGACCTGGCGAGCACGCGTCGCGCCGTCGCCACCGAGGAGGCGGAGAAGTACGCTCAGGAGGAGAACCTGCTCTTCCTCGAGACCTCGGCCAAGGACTCGTCCAACGTGTCGGAACTCTTTACCATGATTGCGCGCAAGTTGCCGCTCGAGCAGGCGGCCGACTCGCAACGCAACGCCGCCAGCCGTGCAGGCGCTGCAGGTGCCGCGGGGGCAGCGGGAGCAAGGCCCGGCGTCGACCTGCGCGGACAGCAGGGTGGACAGCAGCAGGACGCCTGCAATTGCTAGCTTGCTTTGCTATACCCTTCACCTACCTGCGCAGGGCAGAAGCCGGGATGCAGCGGGTGTACCTTGTCCCTCGCTGGCGCACCTCTTTGTAGATAGCTTGAATCGACATATCCGGATCGCGTATCTTCGTTCTCGGCAGGTCAAGTGGTGCTACGCCGCATGGTGTGACATAATGATGGCATGCGTGAAGCTTGTAGCATCTCCAAGGTGTCTTTGAGGGTTAGAGCCGAGCCGTTATGCTGGGGTCGGTTGGAGATTGTTAGATCCTTGTGCCACATCCGCTGCGTGGGTTGGCGTGTGGCTGCATGGGCACATTTCCAAGCGAGCTCATCGCCGACCGACTTCGGTAGTCCGCGCCGCCCTCGCCCAGGGTATGGTAGCAGCGTGGTGGCCCAACACAGCCCGCACAACTCAGCCCCACCAGGAGGGCGGAAGCGCAGAGAATCCGGGAAAGCATTTCTAATTTGGTCCATCGAAGCCCCTC